CCCAAAACCCCAAAACCCCAAAACCCCAAAACCCCAAAACCCCAAAACCCCAAGGAGCACTTTAAGTTGAGTCAGCACAATAAATACTTTTGTTAATTATTTTGATTCATGAATAGAAAAAGAGATGCTGCTTTGGGATTCTTTCAAGACTCTCAAGATACTGCTAATTCAAATGCTGTTTCTGATACTGGCCATTACGTTAAAAGAAAGTGATCACTATTCCAAGTGAATCCTAACCCTACTTCTGATAATCCCTCAAGCACAAACTATCTCGGAGTAGATTCTGAGTTACTATAAATGACCTCAGAAGAGAATAACAATAAATCTTAAAATCCATCATAGCTCACAAGTAATGTAGATTCTGTGTATTCCTTTTATGGCTAAAACAATGGAAAGCTAGATGCAAGCTAGTCTGAGAATCTTCCAGATTGTGAACAACCGAAAAAACAAAAAACTGCATTTGACCTAAAATTGCTCAATGATGAAATTAATGCTAGTATACTTACTTCGACTACTTTTTCGACAAAACACCAAAATTTGTAAAAGTAAAAAAAGAAAAATGAGAATTTCGTTCATGGAAAATCACCAATGAAGCCAGTTGAGATTTAAACTTTTTAATAGGCAAAGGGATAGATAAAGAGAGGAAGTTTAAACAAGAGAAGCATTGAATTTCAGGATCCCTTAGCCAAAAAATATAACTTGTCGAATTAATCAGCAGAGACAACAGAGATGTCTAACCTCGCAGGAATGGGGAATATGTCCGAGCCTAATAGTAACAGTTGTTTTGAAAATATTAATAAAAACAGAATAAATAAGAAGATGTTTATTATGGGAGCAGACTCAAGATTACAAAAGCTCAATGGAATTTATATTGATCCTAATATAAATCTTAGAAAAAATGCAACTCCTAAGAAAAAAAGCTCAGCATCAGGAGGTAAGGACATACGATATCAGATGAGGTAGTTTGAATAAGCCTCAAAACTATCAGCTGATGATTTCTTTTTTGGAGGGCCAAGCATTCCTGAAGAGCCCGCAGAATAAGAAGAATAAGTTGAAGATACAATCACATAAAAAGAAGTTGAATAAGGGTAAAGGTTGAGTCTAGAGGAATAGGCAAGGGCTTTAATGAAAAAAAGAAAACTCAATCAAGATGGTAATTAAGAGGTCAGAAAATACAAATAAAAAGATCGTACTCAATAGCCGGCTTATAAATAAGTTAATGTCTTCATTGATAGTGTAGAAAACTATCCCACTTTTAGTTGGAATGAGATAATGGCATTTAGAAACAGTAAATAATCAAAATTAAATATAGGATACGTTTAATAACTTAAGATGCACTTAATAAATGGTAAAGCTACACTTAAGAGGGAAGGCGATTTTCAAATGAGCTAGGATGGAAATAAAGCAATGAGCTAAGGAGATTAGAAATAGAATGTAGACTAAATTAATTTAGAATTTAAAACTCTTGCCATTTAAAAGAGTCATAATGTATGTTCATTAATTGGATTCATTCAAAACAGAGAGTATGTAAAGGTTATAGTTGATCCTATCAAATTTAAATAAAAGCTAGAAATTAATCAAAAGATTAGGTTAATTAACTGTAAAATCTTTGATATTTACTCGCATCTCAAAGCTGAAATTAACTAACCTTTTAAGTCAAAAAAGGATTACAAAAAGGTTTTTAGAGTTAATAAGCTCATTGTACCAAAGGAAATAAAAACAGATTTAGAGGAATAAAATGAATAAATTACTAAAATAATTGATATAAACTAAATTATTAAGCTAACACAAGTCATATCCTTTCCATAAAGAATAAATAAAGTTTCAAGTGTTAAGAAAAAAATAAAAAAATTGATTGATGAGGATTAATGTGAAAGTGATACAATGGATGAGGATAAGAAGAAGTCTGCTTCTAAGGAGGTTCTTTAAAATAAATTGAATGATAATCAACTAAGTTAGCAAGAAGGTGATTCTTTAGATGAGAAAATAGATGAAGAAGTGGAATCTCCAAGTTTACCTTTATCATAAAATGACAACTAAATGAATAGTCCATTCAAAAAGGATAAGACTAAAAATTAGCATTTAAATCAGAAAGTGGAATAGTTTAAATAAGTATCATAGACAAGTCTTAAGTAAACTATTTAAAATGAAGATTAGGAAATGTTAGATGAAGAAGATAATGAAGATTAGTTAGAAGATTTAGGAAATAATGAAGATTCACTTGATTAGGAGAACTAATAATTTGAAGAATAGTTAGATGAGAATGACATTGATAATGAAAATGATGAGGTGGAAGAAATGGATTTAGATAATTGAGTTCAAGTATTATTAATTTCACAAATATTTCAAATCAATCTATTCAATTATGAGGGGTTTTGGGGTTTTGGGG